GGACCGAAGTTTGTTTTTTCTAAGTTAGTTTTAATGTGTTTATAATACATGTATACATGACATAAATAAGTGTAAAGACAGCTGATTCATATACTTCACACACGTTTCTAGAGTGATTGAAATTGTTTGGGTAACAAGAACATCAAAATGAATACTGTTGATGTCATAAAATTACTTTTGTAGGTGTAAAAAGAAGTATGTTACCAAAACAATTTCATAAATCATTTTCTGTTTACAAATGAAACTCTTGTCTACATGATACCATTTTTATACCTTCCATAATCACATGGAAATGTGTATAACTGTCCGTTCTATTTCATTTTGAGTATCTTATCCGTTTCTACATTGTATAAACTCTGCCACTGTGTTGAAGTCATGACCATTGCTAATGGTGGGAATTTGAAACAGAAACTTAAAAATGTATGAAACCAAAAAAAATTACCTGAAATGAAAAGTGAAATAAAAAGGTTATAAATATTTGAATTATTTCAAATATGAAAACAATATGAAAACAGTAATGAATCATGATTGACACAAGTCAATAGAAAATGCAACAAGGAAATTTTGTAATAAATAAAAATCTCCATCTTTTGTTGCCATTCGCAGGACCTTTTTCAGAAAAGGCCATCTTCAAAAATTTGTTTAACCTCAACTTGTTAGTACAATAGTAGTACATGTAGAAGCATCAGGTTATTCCCTCTCCAAACTCGATGTAAATGACCTCAACTGGGTCAGTTGCCTTGGGAATGCAACTTTGTTTACAAAATCGTTTACCTCGGGATGATTGTTGTTATGGCTGCCCCCTCAGAGAGGGTCAGGTGACTCAGGGTCAAGCACCTAACATCACACCTGTGAGGAGCGACAGTGTGGGTACCATACTGAAGCTGCTCTAGGCACAGTAGCACGGTACTGCCTCCAGAATTTTGTGCTATAAGTGTCCATTAACCCTGACTCCCAACTTTTGTGGTTTTGTTTTGAATCCTCCTAAATTTTCCAAAATCCTCCTCTTGCTGGAACACCATTGGTTCATTCTTCCAGTTTCAGGGGGCATCAAACCTTGAAAAACCTTTAAGCTTGGCTGTACCTTCTTAAATCCTGTAAAACTCCTCCAAATTTCCCAGGAATTTTAAAGGGTAGGTGAGGGTCGGGGTTAAAAAATGTCACGTAAAAATCACCTTATCTGTAATTTAGAAAGCATTTTAAACTGTTGCCTTCGACACAAATTCTGCTAGGATTTTTGTTTCGGAAATGTATAAATATGTCAGTATCGAAGCCGGTCAAAAGTTAAACATGTATACATGTAAGAGTCAAACTCCACAAACGTGCTATTTTTTTCACCTGTGTTTGCCTGCATACCAGAGCAGGTTTACACATAGTTCCAGACTGAAGGACCGAGAGTAACAATTATTCTAAAAATAAATACAAGATTGTTTCTGAAAAATTGACAAGAGTTTGCAGTTTTCTGGATTTAAAAAGGAAGACATCAAAATTGTATTCTTGAAATTAGAAAAAAATATCTTATTTCAAGAAAAAATGTTCTTGTCTCACTCCCTAGAAAGTCTTTCTAGGGAGTGAGACAAGAGATTAGTTCTTCAAACAAGAATTAATTTCTTCATTTAGTATTCAGGGAAAAAAGAAAATGTGTTTTGGAATTTTCAAAAACCATTGAACATTTGGGAAAATTGGTTTTTTATTATATTAACAGCATAGTACATGTCCAGAAGAGGGCTGAGATTTTGGTTGCCCCCCCCCCCCAAAAAAACGCCCAACTTTCCAGCCTCATCCTTCAGTGGGGAATGAGTTTGCATGTTTTATGGATACATACATGTGGTCACACCTGTACACATACAGAGCCTTACACAAACGTGTGTTCACCGTCGATCGTGGACGTCCTATTGTCCCTCTTTTGTTTGTACTCTAACTTTTTAGGAAGACTCCCATAGGTTTTGTACACGACCCCAATCGCGGACGTATGCTGGGAATCGTGGACGATATTGTTCTCTTTTGTTCTCTGGTATTTTTCGTTCACAGTTTGAAAAGATGAACATGTACGTGCGCGTGCAGGTTAGTCTGTATACCTGATCCAGGGTTTAATACTGTTTTCAAGAGCTTTGCCACCAATTATTGGATATTTAGAAGATCACAACATCATAAAATACAGCAATTGAAAACTCTTTTTGAGTGCGTACATGGGCTACGTGACCATGCTACCATGCATGATGCTACTGTACTGTCACTCTGTTAGACCGTGGAGGAATGAGAAAGAAGACCAACAGATGTGGGGGTCAGGAGGTTATCAAGTGGCATCTTTCCAAGGAGTTTTTCGAAACCTTGACTTCGTCTCGAGATTCGTCTTCAGGAGATTTTAGACCCCCTACGTGGGCACTCTGGCTCAATACGGATCCACGTTCTGCTTCATGAATATTGAATACTGTAACATGAGGCCTGAATTCAGAGTATTTCAATTTTTGTTTTGATGTTGAAGGCTTCTTAACGATTCTTGAGTTAGAAATGAAGCCTGACCTGGAGACGAACCAAGGTTTCTTAAACACCTCAAATCTAATTCTCAAAGTGAAGACTGCCTGTGGCTTCACAGGGGGTCCGCATTCCTTCCCAGGCCAAAGCTTGATATAGTAGGAAGTCTGTGACATTTAGCTTCAAGCAATTTGGGAGGATCCATTATTCCGGTCACTGTTATAGGTTTTTTTATGGCCAAGTTTACGCCTTGTCCTTTTGACATTGGGGTCACGGTAGAAATTGTACCCCAAAGATTTCAGGTGTTGTGCCGTGTTTATCGATCAGTTTTGATTTTTAAGAACCCTAATTGATTCAGGCAATTGTGTTTGGATTCTTTCTGAAGTTGTAAATTTTAAACACACAACTTTGCAACAACACAAGACACATCCATTAGCCCTGCCCACTGCACATGTTATTATGTGGGAAACAACACATGCACATCTCGACTCTAGTGTCTCACTGCATGTTCGCATGTGCATGTACAGTACATGCATGTTACAGGGGTGAGAATTATCAGGATTTTCCAGATTTTAGGATTTTTCCTGATTTTCCTTATTTTTCCTGATTTTCCTTATTTTTCCTGATTTCAGGATTTTTCCTGATTTCAAATTTTTCCTGATTTTCAGCATTTTTCCAGATTTCAAATTTTTCCTGATTTTAGAATTTTTCCTGATTTCAGAATTTTTCCTGATTTTGAAAGTTTTCCTGATTTTAGGATTTTTTTCTGATTCCACAATTTTTCCAGATTTCAGGATTTCCTGATTTCAGGATTTTTTCTGATATTAGTATTTTTTCCTGATTTCAGGATTGTTCTTGATTTCAGGATTTTTCAGGATTTCAGGATTTTTCCGGATTTCAGGATTTCAGGATTTTTATCCAGATTTCAGGATTTTTTGGGAAGGATTTCATTATTAAAAAAAAAAATTCCTTTTAAAATCTGGAGTTCCTGAGGTTTTACCATCAGGTGTTTACCTACAAAAGTTTATAGAACAGAAGAAATGGGTTTTTTAATGGTTGCTTTTAGTCAAATACAAACACATACATGTACATGTATAGACCCTACTTGCTCTGGGGCCCTCGCGACCCTCAAACCCTCTGTTGATTATTTCATGGATTTGACATTTGCGACCAATCTCACCCCTGATATTATTGGAACATGCCTCATTTCTGCTGTCAGCATGTGCAAGAAATTGACAGCAATGAAAAAAAGGGGGGGGGGAAGGAATAGAAAACAAATGAATAAATGACTGTTGATGCCACTGCCTGTCCCGGCCATGTCCTGGTTTATCAACCTGAAAGCAATTTGACCTTAACCCAGGAAGATATGCTGATTAAAAGCAATTTAATCTATTCGTCTGGTATGCGACCTTTACCATTCTACAGCCAAGAATGTCACCGATCACCGAGATGTTTTTACTTTTCAGTAGTCAGTACGCATTGAATTCGATTCAAGTCAGTTCAATGTCACTTTTATTTTCATACTTTATACTAGTGCATGTAATACAATGACAAATATTTATAAAAATAGAATGCAAAACACAATGCAGTTTGTAAGTAAATAAACATGTGTTATCGTTCCTGCCATAGAGGTAGGTTAGGGCCTACGCAGTTGGAAAAGAAATTTGGATACGTGTCGTTTGTAGAGAACTCCCTACAAATAACGACCATTTACGTGTACATAGCTGAAATGAAAAAGTGAATGTATACAAACGTAAGTACAAAATTGGTAATGTTTAAAATTAAATGTACCATGATAATGAAATATTGTTTTCACTCTTTTTAGCATTTCCATGATGTCATGATACCTTTAGGGTGATAAGAATTTGTTTTGGTTTGATTTTGTTGCAGTTATGTATTTTGTTGGTGTTTGTTTTGTTTTTGGAATCACATACCCATTTTTTTTTCAGAATCCTGTGTGTACTCAATAGGAATTCTAAAGTTTCAGCCAAGATCCTTACAGCAGAAAAAAAAGTTATTTAATACTTTTATACCCATTGCTGTTGTGAACAAATTTTATGACTTGCTTAGATATCTTGAAGTATTAAACAAACTTGGTTTTTCATCCAAACTTCAATCAAACTGTCAACATCATTTCTACAAATTGTTGGTCGGCAAGTTTGTGGGGTAGAAAAGAATACTAATCGGATGCATGATTTGAGTGCACGTGGGACCTAAAGGCTTGAGCTGCTGTATTATCCTAGATATGCTACTCAAAATTAGGTTTTGCCCTCCAACAACATATAAACACTGTATGCTCATTGTGTTACTTCTCGATTGAAAGTTGGAAAAGTCACTCGGGTGGAACTCGCACCCACGACCTCCTACTTTCTAGTGCAGACGTCTTACCACTCGACCACCAAGCTTGCGGGATCGGTTGGCTGGTTCGAATGTGATGTAACAGCGGGTACCGCAATGAAACTTGGGTAGGAATTGAATAGAATAGAACAGCCAATCTAACTAACTTTTGATTGGTCTTCTTACAGACAGGTTACTGGCCGACCTTGAGGCTTCCACCTCCCAGTTCAAGTCACCACCAAGTGGCAAGCCGGGACCGACGCCCAACGACTTGCACACCACCCCAGCCCCGCCTCCAACCAATGCGAACAACCCCCAGTCACCCCTGTCACCGATCTACTCTGAGATTCCTGCCAATGTGAACGGGAATTACACCCACCCCTCGCAGCAGGTAGGGCCAAAAAACAAAAGGGAAAGAATTTCTTACTGCCTAAAACTCTGTTTCGATTCGCTTGAGTTGAGAGCACTATCCATACCCTACATTTTACAATGTTTTTCTGAGCTGGACTTTTGGCAGACTCTGAGGTGTTTTCAATATTGGGTTTTGCTGTTCACCAACTAATTTTATAAATACTGTATACAGCGCGTCCCAAAATACCCGAAATTTTTTCTTGCAAGGCTCTAGCGTCGGCAAGGAAACACATACCGCCATTATTTTATACCATTTTAAAGCTTGGAATCTGAACTTTAAGGTGTAGTCTACGTGGATCGTAAAGAATAGGAAACACAGAAAGTAAAAGGCAACGAGATCGTCACATCATGAACATGATAAGCATTTCCACATTAGAAAAAATGCGCATGATTGATTTTCCTTGAAATGGGTTGAGTTTGTTTTTGACATGCCTTTATTTGAACACGAATCATTTTAAAACCCCTTTTGAAAATGAAACCGATACTTACCAGGGATAAATATAAGATTCCAATCTTTAAAATAATGGTGGTACAAAATGTATGTGTTTCCGCAGCAACGCTAGAGCCTCCAAAAAAAAATGTTGCAGGTATTTTGGGACGATCTGTACATGTACTCAGTGTTGTCCAAAGTGATTTTGAGAAAAAATTCACAAATGTCCATCTTATGAATAGTCTGAGGTTTTTGTTTTTATTTTTTAACTGTTCATGCCTGGTATATATATTTCCAGTTTTCCAATTTATCCAGGATATAATGTTTATTGCATGAACCTGTGTTAAAAACTGGCTTTGAGTTGAGCCCAGAGTCAAAAACATAATAACATTTTAAATGAATGGATAATTGAGCCATATCTGGATTCTGATCTCAAAATCGTTTAATTCGTCATCAAACTTGCTGACGCTGAAGTCCTTTTGAGCTGGTCATAACATGTTTTTACCGCAACATGGGTGAAAATTGGACTGTTTTTGAGTGAAAAGGCTTTGCTACTCTGGCGTCAGCTTTTAAAACAAAAATTGTGTGGAATTCTTCTGATTATTCTACTCAAATTGTATTATTATTATTATTATTATTATTTATTTCTGGTAGTGAAACCAAGGATCCCTCAATAGCACCCTAGGCACCGTAGATCGCAAGCCTGAAGAAACCTGTAGAGAGAAGACAATGTGAAGAAATTACAATTTTAGAGGTGGGAGAAAAACCCCAGAAGAACATTCTGGGTAAAACCCACGGAATAAAGTAGGAAATGAAAACCCAGTCTGCATAATTGGCCCAGGCGGGATTCGAACCCGGGACACAGCTGTGGAAGGCGAGGAAAGTACCGCTACGCCAACCTGACTCCCCGCATGTACTGATACATTACATCACAAGCAACACAAACTACATGATACACTATCTGCATTGCAACACATTTGAATTAGAAGGAGATTGTATATACTGACATTCGTGAAAAGTATTGGAGACACATTTGACAACCATTCATGTACATGTGTACTCTCTTTTTAAATCGTGTGAGCAGTCTGAGCCCCTATACGAGGAACAGCCAGACCGCAAGCTCCCCCCAGACCAAGACCCGTCCCACCTCTACGCCAAGCCCAACCACCAAGCCTACGCCCAACAGTCCCCGCTCTACAACACCGGTTACCAGCCTCAGGGCCCAAGCAGTACCAGCCAAGCACCTCCGCCCAAGCCCGCCCGGACGCGCCCTGCTCAGCAACCCGCAACAGCATACCCATTCCCTGCGGCGACACCCGCGTACAACAACAAGACTTACCAAGAGTCTAAGATGGATAATTTGTCGGAGTTGGACAGCTTACTGGCGGATCTAGAGAGCGCCCAGGTCAAAATTCAGAATGGTGAGTGTGTTGGGCAAAATTTATGTTTCCAAGAGTTTTCTTTCCAAAATCCACAATGAATACTAAAATGAAGGAATAAGCCATATTTTTTTGGTAAATAATAATCACGCTTTATACAAAAGATCTCAAAGCTCTTCACAATTATTACTCCTGTTTATCAGGTCATGAGACTAGTTTTTGCAGCAGCTCGAGATCGGCGTATTCTGGTCTCTATCTTCACAGGTACCCATTTATGCTCCTGGATGGAGAGAGGCAATTGGGGGGGGGGGAGGGGGGCAAAATTAGCCAGAGCCTCAACCTTCCAATTTCCTCCAGCCTCAGTTTGGGCCTGCTTACCTGGACCCTCCATTTTCCTCCAGAGACAGAATCCTGTTACATGTTTGCCCCTAATCCTGCAAAAGTCTCCAGTGCTTTGATTCAAAATGTATTTATAAACAAACCAAATTGTTCTATCAGATGTTAATTTTTTCTATTTTCCATTTCACTCTTCCCAAAATTCCATTAAATTTAACAAAACAAAAATCAAAAGAGCGAGCAAGGCAAGTTTCAGGTAGGCTATTCACAATTTCTATTGTGTTTGTCCATGAGTTTGCATTGGTGTCCCTTTTGCATCTTAGAGACAGATTCAGTCACACATTTGCATGTGAGGCTGCGTCCGATTTATCAGCCGGCAGTAACATACATTGTCTATGGGACGTGGCTTTGTCTGCTTCCATAGATGCATGTGTAATCTGTCAGCCATAGTCAAATAATTCAGACATAGCCTCCATCACACAGAGAACTGAATTTAGTACACAGCAAACCAAAGTAGAGGCCCATTTTCAACACCCCATTTAAACTGCATGGCTTTCCTTGTTACATGTTTGGAAAATGTTTCAAATTCTATTAAAGGAGCACCTTTGAAAATATTGCGTGTTTGATAAGGTTTCAAATTGTCGTCGTCATAATGCATTAGGGTGGACTTTTTCCACACACAAAAATGCACTGTACAAATTTGTCATTGTGGTGCCCCTTTAAAAGAACGCTCAACCCTTAAAAAATTTGTAGGATTCTTTGGTAGAGGATGCTGCAGTGTTGACATGTGAAGGCTTGATTTCACGCTGGGTTCAATTCCTGTGTTGATTGTGGAGTTTCATTTTGCTTTTGAGGATGTGACATACAATGCATGCAATCCGCCAAGCTTACATTGTTTGTTTGGAGTATGTTCATAATGTACATGTTCATTATTGAATCTGTGCAACTTCCCCTTGCCTGCAAATTTACCATTACAAATGTATGTGTGTGTGTCAAATTATTTTTGAGAACATTTTCACACATGATATTTTCTCATTCAGGAATTGTGTATGTAATACATGTAGTTCACGTTAGAACAACACATGTGTCCGCATAAGATCTCTGTGTTCATGAACTACATGTATGCATGTACTTACATGTAGTTGTCTTACATTGTAAGTCAGTTCATTACATGTATTTTATACAAGTGCTTCGTTCCATTACACTGCGAGAGTATTTTTGATTCATCATGTTGCATTCACCAGTATACAATTTTTATGTTTGCCAGATTGGCTAAAATGTACATGTACATATGTGACCAAATCTGGCATGTCTGAGTCTGGAATGTTAAAGGCCTTAAAAGTGAACATGGCGAAAAAACTGACTAAAAGTTTGATGTTTAATAATTTCTAATTAGAAGTGAAAAAAATGCATGCTACGCAGTAAATCAATTAATTACCAAAAGAAAACTTATGGCGGTAAATCCAAGAACAATTTAGACACAAGAGATTGTTATTTTGCAGATATTAGCAATTGATCTGATCAAGCTCTGTCTTAAAATTTTTCTAATTAAAGGGCCAGCCTTATATCTCCCTTGTGCTTTTGTTTCTCTTATGGCTTTTCAAGCTCTGGCAGGAGCATGTCACTTGGTGGTCGGTCTGTCTATCTGTCTCTGATCTCTCTTTCTCTCTGTCCCCGAAAATTTACCAAAAGTATGGTGTTCCATATGTACCATCAGCATAGCATTTTTCAGAGTCGCAATTTTCGGCGTCACATTTTTAAGCTCTGGCAGGGATCATTTTGATCGATTGCATGCAAGAGTTTTCATGCAAGACTTCTTGCAACACGGCCAGAGCTTTCAGTTGCATATCAAACTGAATGTACCTCAAAGATATTCGCCTAGATAGCAAATTATAAGGAAAGGAGAAAATATTGCTTTGCATATGTACATGTTTGTGCTTTGCAAATCTAAGCTGAGATCAACGTCCTCCACAGCAGATTTAGAGGCTACAAACAGCCAGCGCGTCATTGACCTAATTTAAACCAGGACATTGGGATCAACTTCTATTTATACATTGTACATTCACATTGCACTGTATTCTGTGGGATGTGTTCATGTGAGCTGATTGGAGAACTATGTATGCAGGTCAATCATACTACAGCATGTCCCAAAATACCCGCACCATTTTTTTGCGAGGCTCTAGCGTCGCTACGGAAACACGTACCGCTGTTATTGTTATATCATTTTAAAACTTGGAATCTTGACTTTATCCCTGGTACATGTACATGTTAGTATTGGTTTGATTTTCAAAAGGATTTTGAAATGATTCGTGTTCAAATAAAGGCATGTCAAACACAAACTCAACCGATTTCAAGGAAAATCAATCATGCCTTTTTTTTCTATTGTGGAAATGGTTCATCATGTTCATGATGTGACGATCTCGTTACGTTTTACTTTCTGTGTTTCCTATTCTTTGTGATCCACGTAGACTACACCTTAAATGAAGTTATAATAGTGTTCTTCGTTTCAGGTTCAATTTTTAAATTCATAAGCAAGTACGGTGTATGTACCAAATTGTGACTTGAGTTTGCATCTGATGTACCGGTACCGCATCATCAATTTTCATGGAAATCGGTTGAGTTTGTTTTCGACATGCCTTCATTTGAACACAAATAATTTTAAAACTCTTGAAAGTATCTAACCAATACTCGTCAGGGATAGAGTTCAGATTCCAAGTTTTAAAAATGGAATAAAAATAATGGCAGTACGTGTTTCCGCGCCGACGCTAGAGCCTCGCAAAAAAAATAGTTGTGGGTACTTTGGGACGCTCTGTACAAGAAAGACAGCATCGTGAAGGCGCTTAGCAACCAATACAGCTTCAGAAGTTTTGACAGCAGTGCCTGTCCTTATTGTGAAGCTAGGTCCCCTGTCTAGATACAGTGTAGCATGAAATATCTGCTAGAAGTCTGTTTTTCGCTAAGCAAATGTTGTCTGTCCTTAACAGATCCATTATTTATGTTCCATGTTCGGTGTCATTATAGTGCCAACTTAAAGTCGCTACATATCTGTTAAGCCAATGTTGCGCTTAACCAATGTATTCTTTTCATACCTCTCTTATCTTCCGAAACAGCCACGTCGCCCAAACCATACGCGCCCTCTTCCCCCACCAAGGCTCCGCCTCCAGCTACAGCACCAAAGCCCAGAAGAACTGATGGACCAAGATCACCGACTGGGTAAGACATTTGAGAAACACAGAAAGGTGGGAGAGGTATAAGAAGTGTTTGGAGAAAATTAAAAAGTGTCACGAAAAAAGTTTAGAGGGTGGGGGTTTTTTTGCGTAGGACTTATGCAACAAATTTTTTCACAGCTGCGCAATAATCTTTTGAGTGACTTCGATTGATTGGCATAGCTGCGTAACGTTTTAAATAATCTTAACATCGTGGACAAGGATAATAACAGCATTTTCGACGACTGTTTGTGTATGACTTTGTTCAGTTATGAAATAGTCGTTGAATCACCTCCGCCCGCCATTTTGAAAATAGTTTTGTCCGACTTTCTTTGGAATCGTACATCAACTCTAAAAATTCTGTCGCAACTAAAAAAGCAATATCATTCACCTCAAATACACAGCTACATGTACATGTATGAGTGTCTTGTATCAACCTTGATAACTTGTGCAATGACAGGCACCACGACAATCACAATTTCCTGGTAAAATAGTTCATTTTCAGTACCTATGCCACAAATTACGCCTCCTAAAATGATTGCGCAAGTTATGCCATAATTTGTTGTACGAGTCGCGGACTTACACACTACTAAACTTTCATGAAATGTGTCATAAGTGAAATGTTGCGTGCCATGAAATATTGCACAACTTACGCAATAAATTGTGGCGCAAGGGGAGTTATGCCATTGCGTAAAGTTTCATGAAATCAGGTGCAAATTTTAAGAACATCAAATCCTGTATTTTGAGGCTGAAGTTTAGGTTAATTTCAATTTGGTTTTGACATTCAAAGCTTCAAAAACTTATTTTGGAGCAAAAGATTTAGCTGAAGCTGCAACTGGAAACGAGGCAAAGGTTTCACATACCCCCCCCCCCCCACCACCCACCCATATGAAACATGGCATGGCATACAGTTTTGCATTTCCGTTTTTAAAGGGAAATTAAATTAGTGTTTGCCTCCGTTTCCTGTCAAAATTAGAGAGTCATATGCCCTAAATAGGACCATTTTCATTGAGGAGTTTACGCTGCACAGCCATAAGTTTGTTACATTTGCGAGTCCAAACTTTTGGTGGTTTATACTCTCAAACAGTTAAGTAACCCGTAGGTAATAGGCTGTAGGTATAACAAGTTGAATTGTTTTCGCTGGAAGACTGACTAAAGCCATATCTGTAAAAATTGGCATTGCTGTTTACGGCTGTGGCTATTTATCATTACCCACAATGGCAACATCTAAGCTGCAGCCACAAATTATAAAATTTTGACGTGGCCTGAAACTGAATTGAAAAAAAGTGAACAATTTAAAAAAAATTTAACAACATTTTGATTTTCTTCCCCTGGTCTGTAGTCCGGCTCCAGGTCAACAGTACTCACAACCTCCTTCCACGGAGTCTCCACAGTTACTCATCACTCAACCTCCATCTCGCAGTGCGTCCTCGGCGACCAAAGAACTGGACGATCTCATGGCCTCCCTGTCTGACTTCCAGGTTTGTTGGGAATTTTAATTATTTTGTTTGGAGGTCGTTTAATACTTCTAAGGAACATTCCTGAATCATCCAAAATCCTCCTTTGTGCAGGAAAACAGTGACTTTTTATGTACGTTCAAGATGCATGTAGCTCTGTGTAAAAATTGTTTGTTTCTGTACCACTGTTATATTTTGCCTTCGAGAAAGGTTCTGCTAACAATTGAAACATTAGGCGCTATAATTTTGTTGATTTAACCCTAAAAGGGCCGGGTTATTTTGACCATCTCTCATCGGATTCTGCCTCCCCCCCCCCCCCCCCCAAGATCCCGGCCATCGAGTGACACAAAATTTTGAATCTCAGGACATGCATAGAACAACTCATCATGAACATACCCAAGAAATTTCGTGACTATAGGTCAAAGGGTTTTGGAATTATGGCTAATTAATCAGTCCTATGTACGAATGGTAATTTTGTTCTGTGTACACGACGTATATGGGAAAATTCAGTTTTTGCCTGAAAATTTTTCGCTGCGTGGCAACCCGCAGTCTGATTATTATGTTTTTGGTATCAAAAGATGCGCAAGGCTTGAGGCTAAAAAAGTAATAACAGCTCGGGTCGCGAAAAAAGTTTTTAAAGCTATCACGGGAAAAGTTGAAGGGTCCGCCCCCCCCCCCCCCCCGGCCCTTTTAGGGTTAAAAGTAATAGTGGCCGGATCCTACCTTCCTAAACCTTACAAAATCTTCCCATACCTCCTGGTTCTGGAAGGGGTAAGTATAAAAACAAGGACCAAGTGGTACAACCCTCTGCGGCTGGGTAATGTGTGAAGACAGCTTAAATAGGGCAACGTCCGTGCACCCGAATGGGGCGTCATCTAATATGCAAAAAATATGCAAATTAGACACATGCGCATCAGTGTTTTCAAACCGATCTTAAGCCCGGTTCATACTCGGCGCGAAAGCGAAAGCAGACGCGAATTTGTGACGTCGTGTCAAGTATTCGCGCTGCGAATTCGTAAAAGTTGAGCACATTTTAACTCGGGCGAATTTCGCAATAAACGATTCATGACGTCAAATTCGCTTCGCATTCGCATTCACGTGGAGTATGAACCGGGCTTTAGAATGCAAAGCTGTAATACTCGAGTTGCATGAATTTAATATATGGCCGAGTAAACTGTCCATCAACCAACCTGACCACACACCCACCAACCAACCAACATAAGCAGCTCAAGCCCACGGCATGTTTCACACCCACCGTGGAAAAAATTAAAAAACACTGAATATGTTTGTACATGTACGGTAATACTCCATATACTGTGAGCTTTATTTTCTCGCTTACTCCTCTGTCAGACATTTCCCTGAGAGCCAGTCAATACCTACTTAAAAGCCCCTAGATCATGTTCCCTGACCTTTCGCGACCCTTGACCTCATGATGTCAATGTTCTCACGTACAGACTATGTGTGGTATGTGCGGTTGTCTGCCACCATGGTCTGTATTGTCACGACAATACCGGCTGTGTTGGAGACAGCGGTTTGGTTATTTGAGAGCCGTCAGCGGCATGTTTGGGGGATGTTTGGAATTCATCTGAGGTTTCTGGTTTACTGTGAATGTTCTGACTGAGTGAAAAACAGAACAACCACAAAATTCCGTCCAGAACATTTTTTTTTTTTTTTTCAAAACTGAATGAGTTCAAGAATGGCAAATTTAAACCAAGGAAGAAAAAACATTTGACAAAAATGAACTTCTCGTTTGTCAGACTCTGTCCGTAGCAAAGAGCCTTCTGAAACGAAAGTAAAACTGCATTTCCACGTGCATATTGTTTTTACAAATTACATGTTTTAAAAGGGAATGTTTATGTAACGATTGTGAAACTAGCTTGCATGTTTCTTTCTCAAAAGAAGGCATATCGGAAACACCTCATGCAGTTTCTATTTTCAATGGAAATATCGCTTGCGGGAAATGTTAAGCACTATATTCTCAGAGCTGGTGAGAAAAAAATCAGGAACTTACTTTGGTGGGACTCGAACCCTAATCTAATAATAATAACAATGTGTGGTGCTCACACAGCGCTTACCACCAAAGCTACCGGTAGGTCTCAAAGTGCCTCACAGTTATTAACCCCTGTTTATCAGGCCATGAAACCACTTTTCTGCAGCCAAGATCAGCGCAATCTGGTCTCTACCCTCACATGTACCCAATTATACTCGTGGGGGGAGAGAGGCAATTGTAGTAAAGTGTCTTGCCCAAGGACACAATGACCATGTTTCCCGTCAGGGTCTGAACCCAAGTACCATGGCACATGGATGGAACACTGTAACCATTGGACCATGGTACAAACTACCTGCTTACTAATACAAATACTCTCAACACTCTGTAATCAAAATTGAATTTCAGGGTCATTCCATGCCAACTCAACAAATGGTGCACACCATCACCTCTTGGATTTTTTTCTTTTTTGGTGTACTGAAAGATACTTAGGAGAAATGCAAATTCTGAAAATTTGGGGTCTCTACGACTTTTCGTTCTTGCGCAACAGCATTTTGAAATTTGAGGTGGGCGGGGCCAAAAGTGCGTCGCGTCATGAAATTCAATGTTTAAAGGGCCATATATTTAAAACTATACCACCCAGACATTTGAAACTTGGTAATCTGGGCTATTTTTTGCTGTAGATTTCAAATATTTAAACAGAAAGAAAGTAGCTTGTTTCATTTTTAAGTTAGAGGGGCCCCAAAATGGCCCAAAACTCATCTGGACCAATGTTCGGGGGGGTGTAAGTCAAAAATTGAAAATATTTTTTTCACCAAATTTTTTGCCTGTAATAGCCCCCAATTGAAACTACTTTCATGTAAAATCTTACACTTATATTAACTTCATTGAATGAGATATAGCCCTTGCAAAAAGCAAATTGTTTATTTTTACGATAACTTGACCCCCCCAAAAACCAACGTCAGACATTCCGCACCAAATTTTGCTTCACATATGTTTGAGGTTGGTCCTTAGTGAAGTCCTCTGAAAAGTTTCATGTTGGTGTCTAAATGTCTTCAGTGGATAGTTGGGCTTTATAAAGAGTCTATATCTTATGATGCTGCAGGTTCCGTAACATACAAGTACACGTACCGGTACCTAGAATAACAGCAGTCGGTACATAAAGAACAAGTTGGGTATGAAACTTAGCTTACATTTGTACATGTAGACTTTTGATCAGTTGATATAATTGTTTACAGTTTCACAGGTGAAATTATGCATTCCTTGTGATGTAGTTTTGATGAAGTTGAATGAGTTGCATGATGGTTGGCTCACTAAGTTTGTATTGCCTTCCACCGCTATGTAGAAGTTCTGGTGTTGGTACGCAACACAACACATCAACAAATGGAATGTTACATTTATCCTCTCTTTGTGGCCAACAGAGAGTATTTGTTGATTCCGTCCTGTACATGAAGCGGACATACACATCCTCATGAAGTTGTGATACATCTTCTACAATAGCAATGTACCAAACATCATGCATAGACCACACAAACATATTTTCCTGGGTTGAGGTCAGCTGCTACAATTGGTGCATGATGAGTTTGAGCATGCCATACATGCAACTCCTTGGATGAACTAGGTTTCCCCTTATCCATAATGAAAACTAAGATCAATCAGGTTAAAACCATAGACCCTCTACTCAAACTGAATCATTTCTCTTTGGTTCAGGCTAGTGCTATACTATGCTGTGCAAGTGAGAACTGGTTAATTACTACATACATGACATGCATGCTGTGTGATGAGCACATGGAAAGAATAAGACTCTCAAGTCATTTAACCTAATTTGCTTATAATGCACATGTAGGTCTACAAGCAACTGTTTATTGAGCAGGAAATGGGTAGTCTTGACCCAAGTCTTTCAACAGTCGGGGGATTTTGTTGTGCTGGTTCCGTAAAATACAAGTACATGTACATGTACATGTATGTATGTTAAGGAACCTGCAGCATCATAAGATATAGACTCTTTATAAAGCCCAACTATCCACTGAAGACATTTAGACACCAACATGAAACTTTTCAGAGGACTTCACTAAGGACCAACCTCAAACATATGTGAAGCAAAATTTGGTGTGGAATGTCTGACGTTGGTTTTTGGGGGGGTCAAGTTATCGTAAAAATAAACAATTTGCTTTTTGCAAGGGCTATATCTCATTCAATGAAGTTAATATAAGTGTAAGATTTTACATGAAAGTAGTTTCAATTGGGGGCTATTACAGGCAAAAAAATTGGTGAAAAAAATACTTTCAATTTTTGACTTACACCCCCCCGAACATTGGTCCAGATGAGTTTTGGGCCATTTTGGGGCCCCTCTAACTTAAAAATGAAACAAGCTACTTTCTTTCTGTTTAAATATTTGAAATCTACAGCAAAAAATAGCCCAGATTACCAAGTTTCAAATGTCTGGGTGGTATAGTTTTAAATATATGGCCCTTTAAACATTGAATTTCATGACGCGACGCACTTTTGGCCCCGCCCACCTCAAATTTCAAAATGCTGTTGCGCAAGAACGAAAAGTCGTAGAGACCCCAAATTTTCAGAATTTGCATTTCTCCTAAGTATCTTTCAGTACACCAAAAAAGAAAAAAATCCAAGAGGTGATGGTGTGCACCATTTGTTGAGTTGGCATGGAATGACCCTTCAACAATTGCATGTACATGTACCTTTAAAGGGAATGTACATCATTGGCTTTTGCTGTAATTTTCAGAAATGAACTATTTGAGGGGTTAGTATTTATAGATCAAATATTGTTACACTGACATGTTTGAAATTTTGTGTTTGAAAAAGCTGGAAGAAGCAAGAAAAACAAAAACTTTCAAGTAGTCTGGTTCCCTGACTCCACTTAAGATAAAATGGATCAATTTATAGATGCCAGAAAATTGTACGGTAAAGGGAACCAGTCTAGCTGGCCTGTACCTGTTCATGAACATGTAACCAATAGCAAACAACATTTGGACCCAAAAAAGGGTAAATTTGGAGCAGTAATTGAAAAATAAATAGGTTTTTCCAACGGTGGTCGGCGGACCACAATACAATTTTCTTGAAAATGACTTCACACCAGGTGCCATAATTTTACAGGATGCTTTAGACTGTCATTTACCAACATCCTAGTAAGGTATTTCGTAAAACTTGGTAGTTTTATTTTTCGATGTTTGCAAATGTTGTATATTCCCTTTAACCTGGATGTTGTGCCCATAGCAAAGGTCTTACCACAATTTTTTAGTCAGGAAAGTCGAAGTTGGTTGGTAATTCTCAATTATAGTGTGCGTGGTGTGACCCTTGACATCTATGGTCATGATTTCATGTTTATTTCCTTCCCTACCCTGACCCTGAATGAGTTCTTTCCTGACTTCCTGTTGACTGTATCTGTCTTTGCCCTCTTCCTGTCCATGTGGTAATCCAGCTACGGGATGTACTTCTCTTGTTCCAATTTTTATTCATTTCAGTTTTATACAAAGGTGTTTTCGGTTTTGAATTCAGGAAAATGGGGTTAGATAAACTTGAGTAAATAGAGAAACCATAGGTGGTTTCGGAAGTGTGGATGTTACGTTAAGGACATTTGCTTTGATTTGTTTGCTTTCAATTGCTTTGATTTACATGTACATTGCCTTTGTTGGTATCTTGCTAGTTTTGACCACACCTCCCCCCCCAAAAAAAAAAAAAATTGGATATGTTCGCAAATAGCTCGGGGAATTTCCAGGATTAAAACTGGTTTTATTTTTCAACAAAATACCTGTCATGCTTGTGATCAGTTATTGAAAATTTTGGGTTCAGAAATTTATTGCGTGTATTGAAAAAATTCACTACCAGCTATATGTGCTACCCATTATCTGTGTCAAATATCCAACTTAAACTTTGTGCTCAAGTATTTATTTGAGTGTTAAGGCCATTCAATACTTCGCACAAAAGAAAAGGCGAACACAAGTACGTATTCAGTTGTGAATTCAGTTGTAAATTTGCAACAGTTGAACATATTTCAACTGATGACTGTGTTGTGACTTCAAAATTTGCTTCATTTAAATATCATACAGTAAACTCCGGCCAAGTCGGCACTCGCGGTACCCGGAAATTTGTGACGACTTTAATACGTGAATGCCAACATCTGCTGTAAGTCGTCATTTTGCCGACTTACATGAATGGCCTTTTTGCACACATGATTCATTGCACTAATTGGCTTCGATTTCCCCTGGTTTATCTCCTTAATGCTTGAGTTGATTCCAGCAAATTAATCCTCAAATTTTATCATCACGGGCTCGGGTATTGATAGTGGAGACCACGTGTACATAGTAATACACGTACGTGTGCAGTTACGCATTAAATGCGTGTGTGGTATTGACTGCATCATTCAATAAGACGACCCCCAAAATGGACAGAGCGCATGCGTACAGGACTAGAGGGGTTACTGGTATTGATATGCTCACGATGCAGCGATCACACGGGCCGTGCCAAACCACTTTTCACTCGACGATTCTTGCCAACCGCATTGCAGCATGAAGGTAGGAAGTCGATGCCAATGCGTGATTTTTTTTTGAATGCCGACTTACACAAGTATTTTGTCATGCTTTTTATAGAAATTGGACCGAGAGTAATACGACGACTTGAGCAGAATTTGCGACTTATAAAAGCCGACTTAGAAATAAAAAAAATTCAGTGGAAATGCATTACCGACAATCTGGACTTTTATCAGACGGTCGACTTGAGCGGTTTGGCGAGTTGTACGGAGTTTACTGTACGTACAAAGTGGCATTGGGCTTTTCAAAGTAGCCAATTAGAACCTTTGGAATTTTCTTGCTTCACTTCCAGGTCTCCGGTGCCCAGCCTGCACCAGCCGCCGTCCGGGTCAGCAACGAGCCCAGCTATGCCAAGCCCCATCAAGTGGGGGCCCAGCCCCGCCCCTCCCAGCCAGCCCAGGACGGGAGCTCCGCCCCTAGGGGGACCCAGCTGGACTCCATGCTGGGTCATCTGGGGTCTGATGTCAGTCGGCAGGGCGTCAGTACGGTGACCAAGGGATCCTGTGCTGCTTGCCAGAAACAGATCATAGGACAGGTAGGATTGAACGGAGTTCGTTAACTTGCTGTGTTTGCAGTAAATGCAAATTGAAATTAAGACCCCAGTATTTTTGCAATAGGAACATTCCTCAATCCTCCAAATCCACCAGTTTACAGAAATCCAGTGGTGACACAATCTGTGTACTTGTTAAGTCCCTGCAACTGATTTCATGAAACTCTGTGCCATGACGTAACTCCAGGTATGCCACATTTGATTGCACACGTTTAGCAACATTTTACATTGCCCAACATTATAGTTATGACTTATGCTAAGGATTAGTCTGACTCTGAGTATCACCCGTTATTCATGGAGCAAGACTTCTGTATAACATCTGATATGTGTAAACATACACATATATGCAAGCCACGCGCCAGCCAATCGGAGTCGACTTTACTAAATCGTGACGTCATTGCAGCATTTTGTAATACAACAACAGCCGGGCGCGATACAGTGCGCGTGACACAGGGTTTTTTAATCCATTGTCTGTGACGCGCAATGGGTGAATGACCGAAGACCCGATATAGAAAGGGCCTGCTGCTTGGTCAAAATCTAGGAGGTCATGAGGCGGGGTCTTACCTAATTAATCAGCAAATCTGCTCAAATATCATAGACCATGGCATTCACCATGTTCTATTACATTAGGATGTGACGTTTAAACGTTTAAAAAAAAATCCTAAATCCAGTTACAAATTGTCCAATATGTTTAAACGAAACACGACTGATAAAAAAAGAAACCTACCTTTATGCAATCTTCCGTTGTGTTAAACATACATCCATCTTATGAAAAGTTTTCAAACCTATTTAATTTACAAAACCATAGAGTGCAGTGCTTGATTACATTCGGGATACACATAAGTTAAGTTTTTACTTTTTCAGTGACTGCCTGCTATTTGTCATGCCAATCATGTTGATTTATCATGTCAATCACGCCGGTCGCAGACATAATGGGCAGACGTCAGCCTTTGTGAAATGGCTAAATGTTAAACGTTTAAACGGTATTTGAAATAATTGCAAAACATTTACAAAATTAAATGCAAAGATACATCCTTTCATGTTATTTATGCAAGAAAATATGGCGTCACTTCAGGTGGCATAGGTTGTGTAGTAGCAACTGAAAATGGATGAGTTTTAACACATGATTCCTGTGGCGCCTGCCATTATCCAACTTATCAAGGTTGAAACAAAACACAGCTTAAAATGAAATGCTATTTTACCTGTGACAAAACATTTACTGTTGTCACATGATTCCGGAAAAATCAGACAAATTTCTTAACCAAAATGGTGGGGGGAGGGGGAGGTGATTCAACAACTGTTTTGTAATTGAATAGAAATCAAACAAACAGATGTCGTCCAAGATGTTTGAATTCCACTTGAGTACAAGTACAAATCCAAGAACTATAGCTCCTTAGGTTGTTGGTAACTGTATTTTTATGAGTACGAGTAAAAATCCAACTGAAGCCAAACAGTACTTGAGACACTGACTGTAGAGCTATCTCCAGACTGGGACCGTGAGTGCATGAAAACGTGTTAAATTACTACTGACATTTTTTTTACTCACCATTCGACTAATTAACGCCTACACAACACATACATGAAAATGCTATAGTTGCAAGCATGTAACCTGCGAAATTTGAGACATTAAATCCAATTTTAAGGCAAGTTAATGGCAGTTCACAAAACCATCCACCTCATTCTCCATGCTCTGGAAATGTTCGTGTGATTCACAAAGTATTCTGGGTAAGATGTAGGAAGTGCCTTGCAGCTTACTTGTTTTTTAATCGATGGCCAAAAGAACAAGCGCCCTCTGTTAAAAATTGAAACATTCTACTGTGTGAAGGTGTATCAGCAACAGGACGCTGTTTTATCTACACAATGAAAATGTTACAGCTGAGGAGTCTTTTTGTAACTGACATTCACAATGCATTGCGGTACACATCAACGTGATGTCTCACATTTGGATTTCGATATTACTCTCTGCAAAATTAGAATTACAAGCTGAATTTTTGGTGATGCAATGCTCACAACAGCAACTTAGCAAGGCAGAAGTTTGGGGCTTGCAAATTTAATGCACACTGCTTTTTTTACACAGCACAAACTTTTGCACGATATGGACACCTTACGTTTTGGGACTCTCATACGCAGTATTGAGAGTCCCAAATTTTGGGACTAAGCTCTCTCATGAATGCTATGATAAAGCTGACTTTGTTCTATCCATTCTGATCCCATTATTGTTGTGGACTTCTCTTCAGATTGTGACTGCCCTAGGCCAGACGTGGCATCCCGAGCATTTTGTCTGCTCTCACTGTCAGGTAGAGCTAGGCACGAAGAGTTTCTTTGAGAGGGAGGGTCAGGCTTACTGTGAGGCCGACTACCAGAATATCTTCTCTCCGCGCTGTGCCTACTGCAATGGCCCTATTTTGGACGTGAGTACAGAGTAACCCAATCGCTAGAATTTAACCCTAACTCCCTAGGCCTTTTTGCTAGGATGTAGCCTCAATCCTGCAAAATCGTCCAATTGGCCTCATGGTAAAATAGCATATAGCCTCAATCATGCAAATTCCTCCATTATTTTTTAATATGGTCCGTTGAGGGGTGACCACTGCCTGAATCCTGCAAAATCCTGCGGCAGTGACTGTTAATATGTTGAGGCTTGGCCAGTGACATCCTGGAGCAGTACGGAGGATTTCAAGCATAATCCAGGCCTATATTTATGCATGGCTGAGCTAAAACAACACAAGGTCCGGCCCAAGACCTTGACAAAGTGTATCCTACGAAATCAGAAACGCACATTTGCCATGTAACCTCAATCCTCCAAATTCCTCCACTTTGGCAAAGAGGATTTTGAAGGTTTCAGGGCGGTTAGGGTTAAATACAATGTTATTCCCTACATGCAGAAATGTGTAACAGCCCTGGACAAGACCTGGCACCCGGAGCATTTCTTCTGCGCCCAGTGCGGCCAGCCGTTCGGCGACGGTGGATTCCACGAGAAGAACAACAAGGTGTACTGCAAGGAGGACTACTTTGACATGTTTGCGCCCAAATGCGGCGGCTGCCACCGTGCAATCATGGAGAACTACATAACGGCTCTCAATGTGCAATGGCATCCCGAGTGCTTTGTTTGTGGGGTGAGTTAGAATTTGTCTCAAAGATTGCGTTCCTCTGGCTTTTTGCTGTGTTGTAGCACTGTCCATCACAAGTCCAATAAGATAAAGTTTATTGTTATACCTCTGTCTTGAATACTGTATTTTCATTGGCTTAGAATGATCATGTGTTAAGTTTATAAAAAGTCATGGCACAGTCCCCGTGGGATATCACGTTCGTGAGGCAGGAGTGTGCTATGACTTTGTACGTACGGTACGTATACGCTGTGAAACGCTTGAATCGTTGGGACCCACGCTATTTTCACCGTGTTTTCACATATGAGTGGAGCAGCAAACTAGCAGACGATCAGCTGTTCGAGCAGGCGACATGCATGTGAGTTGCCGTTTGACTGCCATGATTGTTGTGTTTTTACCGCTGTTTGTAAAATTGTGGCACCAGGTGCCACGATTTTACACGATGCTTTACACCGTCATTCACTAACAGTCCAGTAAGGTATTTCATAATAATTTGGTAGCTTTGTTTTTTGATGTTTGCAAATGTTGTATATTCCCTTTAAAATCTCTTGTGTTTCCAATCCATCTTTTGTCCAGGAGTGTCGCATGCCCTTCAACGGCGGCAGCTTCTTTGACCATGACGGCATCCCCTACTGTGAGATCCACTACCACGCCGTGCGGGGCTCACTGTGCGCCGGTTGCAGCAAGCCCATCACGGGCCGATGCATCACGGCCATGGGGAAGAAATTCCACCCGGAGCACTTCATCTGCGCCTTCTGTCTGAAACAACTGAATAAGGGCACCTTCAAAGAGCAGAACGACAAGCCGTACTGCCATGCCTGCTTCATCAAACTCTTCAGCTAGGTTCTTGGGAGAGGTGTCAGGAGGTCCACAGTGACAAATCCACAGTTAAAATGAGGGCCAAGTTGCCAGTGTTGTAGGCGAGACCATCCGAAGACCGGACACGAGACCTATTGTAGAGCAAGCAGAAGACCAGCCACAAGTAACAGGCCAAGAACAATGACAAAGGAATGCCTTTGTTGCATTTCTTTCGAATAGTTTGTGACTTGAATTGAGACTGGAGGTCTTGTGATGGTCCTGTGTTGGTCTTGGGATTGTCTTGTGTTGGTCTTGTGTTGGTCTTGTGCTGGTCGTATGTTGGTCTTGTGTTGGTCTTGTGTTGGTCTTGTGATGGTCTTGTGATGGTCTTGGGATGGTCTTGTGTTGGTCTTGTGATGGTCTTGTGTTGGTCTTGTGTTGGTCTTGTGATGGTCTTGTGTTGGTCTTGTGTTGGTCTGATGATGGTCTTGTGTTGGTCTTGTGATGGTCTTGTGTGGGTCTTGTGTTGGTCTTGTGTTGGTCTTGTGTTGTCTAGTGTTGGTCTTGTGTTGGTCTTGTGTTGGTCTTGTGTTGGTCTTGCGTTGGTCTTGTGATGGTCTTGGGATGGTCTTGTGTTGGTCTTGTGTTGGTCTTGGGATGGTCTTGTGATGGTCTTGTGATGGTCTTGTGATGGTGTTGTGTTGGCCATGTGTTGGTCTTGTGTTGGTCTTGTGATGGTCTTGTGTTGGTTTTTGTTGGTCTTGTGTTGGTCTTGTGTTGGTCTTGTGTTGATCTTGTGTTGTCTTGTGATGGTCTTGTGTTGGTCTTGTGTTGGTTTTGTGATGGTCTTGTGATGGTCTTGTGTTGGGCTTGTGATGGTCTTGTGATGGTCTTGTGTTGGTCTCGACTTCAACACTGCAAGTTACACCAGGCAATTTTCACAGGCAACGAAACACTTCAAGCTAAACTTAAGGAAGGCCTCAAAAGAACGAAGTTCCTTTTTTCCAACAATTTATGGAAGTCCCTCGGAACATTACAGGGAAGGGAAATTTGCCTTTCGTCTTCTTCTTGAAGATTGCCTTGGACACGTTGCCTGCAAATTGCCTTGTGAGACACCGCCCTTATTAAAGAATGATAGGAATCTATTTCTATTTGAAATTTAGGATGAGATTTTTGTTCTTACAATAAATACATAGATCTCTGTATGCCACAAAGTTGTAAGCACTCATCTGAGTACATGGTCCCACTGTCATGGGACAACGCAGTTACGGCCACTTCATAGAGGAGGGAGATAGGCGTAATGAGCCTTTTTTTTTATTGAGAGAGGTTTTTTATACAATGTTCTTTGAGGAACTTTCTGTAAGATAATCATGTTACTGAATGTGTTTCACTACCGTGAAAAAAATGCAGTGCATAAGTCACTCTACATGCATTTTGCAAGTTGCACCTGAAATTTCTGCTGCAGTACTGTCTATTAAATGCTATGTGTATATACACTGAATATCGAGCAATCACTTGCACCAAAGTACAAAGCACCGCTTTAATCATATTTTTTTTTCATAGAAATGTCCGCATATATCTGCAGGTTTATGGAACTAATAAATCCAAGTTTGTGGTTTTCCAACATCCATGTACTTTTTTTAACCCTAAAGGGGCCGGGTTATTTTGACCATCTCTCAACCGGGGGGGGGGGGGGGGGGGGGGGGGGGGGGGGGGGGGATTCCGCCCCCCCCCTAAGATCTCGGCCATCGAGTGACGAAAAATTTTGAAACTCAGCACATGCATAGAGCAACTCTTCCTAAACATGCCCAAGAAATTTCATGACTATAGGTCAAAGGGTTTTGTAATTATGGCTAATTAATTATTCATATGTATGAATGGCAATTCTGCTCATTGTACACGACGTATATGCAAAAATTCAGTTTTCACGGCGCATAGTGCGGAAAATTTTTCGCTACGTGCCAACCCGTGGTCCGATTTTTATGTTTTTGGTATCAAAAGATGCGCAAAGCTCGAGGCTAAAAAGTCATAACAGCTCGGGTCGCGAAAAATTTTTTTTTAGAGGCAATCGCGGAAAATGTTGAGGGGGGGGGGCGGATTCCGCCCCCCCCGACCCCTTTAGGGTTAAACAAACGAATCGATTATGTACTTCTCCTCATAATAGGCTGTACATATTCAAATAATTTAGCATTTGATTATTCCAATTTGGATAGGGGTGTGCATCGGAACCGGGTTCCTGAGTTCCTGATCGCTGATGTCAGGAACCGGTTCCAGATTATGGGATTGGGTACCCGTAACCAACTTTACAGATTACTTAGTGACTTCTCGGTCAATGAGAAAGAAAGGTTTTCAATGCCATTCGTGGGGAATTGTTAAAAACAACAACCAGGCTACATGGAAAACCAAAACAGATTTCACATTTTGGTGTATTTTACCGTGCGACAGATGACACTCGTGAAAGTTGCACTTTATGCCGTAAAGCTATTAAGTCCTAGACAACTTCCAGGATTTAAATTTTGGGGTCAGGTTTCATTTACGGGTACCCGGGTACCAATGTTTTACTTCAATAGGTCTCGTTCAAATGACATCATTTCCTACAGACCATCCACGTGCATCTCTATTTTGAGCGTCGTGTTTCGAACACATTTCAAGCAATAAGTGCGCTTGTTTGCAACATTTTCACCACTGCGTAATTTGTACTTGATTGCGTAAAATATGCAGTTGCAGTTCTCCTACAGAGATGGCCGTCATTGAGCGATCCCTATAAGGTACCCGATACCCGTTGTACCTAAAATGCAAACCACTAAAGTTGGACTTGGTCTAATAATCCAATTTCGAAATGTGCTGATCAAGTTAAATATGTGCAGCCTAAACTGGCCACTGATCGGGATAAGCGCGCACCTGCGCTTGTCGAAAATCAACGAAGGCTTATTAAAATTATATACAGAACAAGTAGCCGTGGCTGTTACTTGACCAGTTTCAAAGGAGGAACTTGAACTGATAGACCTATTCCTCATGGAAGCTCTCAAATCATGTGCGATAATGGCTTTCAATCAGAGTTGTAACGATTCACTGATTTTTGTGACTCGAGTCGAGTCAAGTCATTTTAAAGAAGTGACTCGAGTCGAGTCGAGTCATTTTAAAGAATTGACTCGAGTCGAGTCGAGTCATTAGGTCAAAAGGTCAAGTCGAGTCAAGTCGAGTCAAATATTTAGCTCGAGTCAATTCGAGTCACGATTATTCGAACACTATATATACCAAAATTTATAAAAGGAGGCCATAAGTTTAGCCAGCATTCGAATCCAATAGCTTTATAAGAAATCGCCCCGAGTCGAGTCATATACCCTTAGGGACTCGAGTCGAGTCGAGTCACCAAAAATTGTGACTCGAGTCAGACTCGACTCGAGTCATTACAACTCTGCTTCCAATAATAGTGTGGCATTTGACAAACATTAAAAACCACACAACATGTACGTTTTTCATCATCTTCTCGAGACTGCTCTCATATTTAAAAATATTTGAATCGGAAAAAAAAATACTATTCAGATATTAAGTTAATGATCGAATGTTCAGATATTCAGTATATTCCGCGCAGCCCTATACCATAAAACTAATTTCAGTGATCATCAATGAATTTTTAAAATTTGTAACATAAAGCAATTGGAAAAGTGGTGGTGTCGGTGTAATAATGAATTTATGGGGTTTTGACTTTTGGGTTTTGACTTGCAATGCCGAAGTGTTGCTACCAAAAGAAATTTTGTCCAAATTCATTTTATTGACTGCTTTTAGGGAAAAACCAGTTTAAGGGTAGAAGGTGGTTCAGGACTTGAGTTGAAATTTTTCCCGATGTCCTCAAAACATGGCTTCCCAAAAGTAGTGGTTTCATTAATATTGTATAGATAACTTGAATTTTATAATGTACAACTTTTATGTGCAACATATGACATTAGGTCCTTACTAAAAAAAAAAATCATAAAATTGTACTCAAAACATTTTACTAACATTTTCCTTTTTTTTCTCATTCTACTAATGGTACGCGATTTCCATGGTTTATACGTAATCATGCAATGGTTTTATTAATCGTTTTAATTAACTACATCAAGTTCATTCTTAGCCCATTAAATATAAAAAAAAAAATATTTTTGTATAATTATGTAAGTATGCGTTGTATTTAAGATTTCTGTTAATTGCTCATAAAAGTGCCTTTCAATTTTCGTCACTTGTGCACTTGCGTGTATAATTATATATGTTTGTTGTATAATGGGGGGATACGTAGTGTTTACCAAGAATTAGTCTGTTTGCTGTACTCTGCAAAAACTGTGGTGTTAATTTAACACCATTCGGTATCTATATAGGACAACACCAGCAAAATTTAACACCAGATGGTCCTATGTAGATACCAATGGTGTAAATTTAACACTGCAGTTTTTGCAGTGTAGGTTCATGCACATGACAGAATAGTACAGGATTCCTGCAATTTGCCAAATATTTTTAGTTAATTTTTTTTTTCTGGCACCTAGAAACTAAAAAGTATAAAGGATCAATATAATACTCTTTAAATCATTAACCCTCCTTTGCAAACATACATTCTGTGCCAAGTAGTCCTTTTAGTCAAAATCAATCAAGCGACTGTTTTCAAAAGTTTGAAATTCCCAGCCTACGTAAAGCAAGATTGGCTGGCCGTGGCTGTTTAGAACTCTTACAGCTTTGATTTGGGTGTAGGTAATTGATAAGCCAGCTGTGCCCACAAATTGCCTGCTCTGTCTGCTCATGGTCTGTTGACTGAGTTTAACTAGTCGGGGTGCTTGCTTGATTATGATCTGACTGCTGGTGACTAGCCTGTGTTAAAAGTATATCAGGGGAAGTGGATAAAAATGTTTGACTGTCTGCGACTGTTTAAATAGCAGGAGGGTTAATGAGTTTTATAAATCCACAACGTCTGTCTTGCATTCATAATAGTTCTCATGTAAACCTGTTTTATACCAAGCAGTCCAGGAAAAAACAATTAAAGCAAAGGCAAGCGCAAATGTTCTGGTCACTTTTTTTAAGGATCTTAGTGTGGAGACATATGGAATGCCTTTCTGTAAAGTTGTTTTCTGTCGATATATTTTGTGTGGAAAATATGTATTTTTTTTGTATACTATGTTTACTGCTGGTTTGGAAAGTTTTTTGGTTAAAGGCATA